AAAAGTACAATCATTAGGGGGTTACTTGGTTTTCCTGGCCACTCATATAATCTAAACATAGGAGATGGTAACCATGTTTTTATTGGCAGAATCAACTGCTAAATCAAGACGCAGGCTACTTGAGTTACTGGGTGGGTGGAGATTTTTAATTGGAGTTATAATTACGTAAATTTAAATATGTGTGATATAAACATATTGATAAATACTGACAATATGCAGTATTTCAAAACACATACATTCTTGCTCCATACAAACTTTTAAAACACTAAGAATCACATAACCCCAGAACTGACAAAGGCTAAAATTACCTGTGTTCATGTTCTTACCACTTGCTTTGCTTGGTTCCTGGGGAGTTACAGAGTTGGTCTTGAGCTGGGCACTGTCTTTAGGAGGTCATCTCTTACAAGGAGCAGGAACCACCTTTGTAAATGACACAGACTATAATATCAGAAGCTTGAGACTTAAGTCAAGATCAATCTTGTATGCTCCACCCACATGTAAATATAAACCACCTTGCAACAGAAAATAGATGACTCCATAGACTTCTAAGTTCTTTATATCCCATCCTACAGTCTTGATGCCAAACCAGGATGTTAGTCAACAAATTCTTCTCAGTGAGCCAACCATTTTTTTAATAACACAACAAATGCTTTCATAAGTATCTAAATTGCTTATACATTATGGATTCATGTCAGGGGGTGGGGAGAGTTATGGGAGGGGAAAAGGGGAAGAGAATCATTAAAAACAAAAGAAATAAAAAAAAGTAAAAAGCATGAGTGCTAGAAGGATGACAAAGCAGTTAAGGTCACTGGCTGCTTTTCCTGGAGACCCAGATTCTATTCCCAGAACCCGTATAACAGTTCATAAATATCTATAACTTCAGTACCAGGGGAATCTGATGCCCTCTTCAGGCACCTACTGGCACCAGGCACACACGTGGTGGACAGACATCCAGGCAGGCAAAACTTACCCATATACACAAAATAACAAAAATAATTTTTTCGTGAGTTGGAATTTAAAGTCTTCTGTTTTTGCCAACTGTCTCCTACACAATGCCCAACTCAGTCTTGATTTGCTCCAATTTAGATGCTTCCAGTATGGGGGTAAAAAAACTTTCTGAATTGCATACTAGCCAGAAAAAGATACAATTAACGTCAAACATGTTCTTATGTGGAGAGAGAGGTAGGGTTCTGAATATAATTAAGAGCCAAGGTCAACTGGACCCTGCTGTACTCATGTGCTAAGTCTCTTTCCTAAGCTCATATTTTTGTTGGCTGTGATGCTCCCACTTCTAGAAATGCTCATGTTGAAGTATGTGGCAAGTGTGTCAGATCTTCTTGCTTAAGCAACTTGCATTCTAATAGACTTCTCCTAAGAACTACTACAAGTCTTCAGATACAGAACATTTTAAATGATTACCATTAACTAGGCAATAAAACTGTTTTTCTCCCAAACCAGAAGAATAATCCAGAGATCCCACAGGAATCTACATAAACTTTTTCCTAATAATAGGCTTTCTTTAGTGTAAATCTGAGCAGCTTTTAGGAGAGGAATTGGGGTGCAAATAGCCAACAGTTTCAACTGAGCGAGATGCAGCTTTGTAAGAACTGTTAAAGGAATTTAATTTTTGATAGGCATAAAGAAGGCAACAGTGAGTTGAGCAAATCTAGAGCAGCTACAGATTTGAGAAATTCTCAAAATGTTTTATTTGTGTCACTAATAAAAAATGTATCCTGTTTGACTTGTAAAAGAGTATTTCATCCTATGTGCAGACAACATACTACAGATTCTAATTTGTTCATTTTTCTACAGATTTTCCTAAACATGTTGTGCCCAAAGTATGGCTTAGAAAACAAAGTATAGGGAGAAAGATTAAAGAGTTAGGGAAAAAAAAAGGATGGTTGAGGGAAGGAATGCTTTACCTGGGAAGGTTTGTCCAGTCAATATAAATAAAATGACCAATAAAATGGACTAGAGCTTCATCAGATGTAGAATCTAGCTTGAAACCCCATGCAAGAGCATGTATCAGTGAGAATCACAAATAATAAATGAATGGATGAATGTTTTAATGTGTTTAAATAAGGCTCATTATGTACAAATTCACTGATGAACTTCACGGATCCATGGACCCTGAAAGATGTTGCATAGAAACATCTTTTCTCTGACCAGACATGCTCTTCCTTTTCTAGAGAAAGCATTCCTCACTTTTGCTGTAATCCACAAGTGTTCTATGAAACTTTCTCTATAGCTAGACTAAAATTAACACTCATAGCTTGGCTCATTACTAAATATTTAGTACATTCTTCTCCTGAATCCAAAACCAATGTGCATGTGTGGGTCCAGAGAGAAAGAAAAAAGCTTAATGTTGTCAGATTTGGCAAATTCTATTTGTGTTAAGCATAGTATTTCTAAGCATAACAAGAGTCTCTGCCACTCATAAGAAACTCAAGATGCTTTTGAGTGTTAAATAATTTTTTTAAACCACAGGACAAATTTCATGTTTTAACACCAAAGGAAGGAGAATTTGGAGGTATTGATATATTCAGTGTTTGCTCTATCCAGTTTTTTAGCACTGCATTTAGTTGGATTATTAATTTGTAACCATATTAATTACCAATTTCATTCCAAATATGGGAAATCTTACCATCCTGAACATATTTTGGAATTTCTAGGGATTATGACATTAATATATTGACAAATGTATTTTCAGGAAATACTTGAAACTTATTGTACTCAAATTAGTCCATCAAAAACTAATCCCTTATACCTAGATATCCTTTTGGAAAGATGATTTTCATCTTTCCACTAGACCTTAAAACATGGGAACATTCTAGAGGTCCAGTCTAGTACCTCTCCCTCCATGACAACTCTGAATGGATCTGAAAGGAAAGTTCACTTGGTCTGGTTCACTTAAATTGACAGATGCTTTGCTCACGAGGGAGAATTTAGAAATTACCATAAAGTATTATCTCTCACGTATTTGGGGTTGAAGCCAGTGCCATGTAAATGCTAGGCAAGTACTATACTACTAAGCTACATCCCCAGACAAGAAGGAATCTAGATCTGTCCTCTGAATAAGAAGCCGTGGTTCTCAATCCACATCAGTGTACAAATCCCCATATAGCAAGTGGTTTTTATGCAGCAAATTTTACCCTAGAAGAGCATGCAGTACAAAGGGCTCACTTAAGTTAGTCTTTTCTCCCCTAAATGTCTTTCAATACCTTGCTAAATAGTCGTGATGGGCAGCAATGGGACAGTCCTTTCTTTACAGATACCCAAAAAGATTTCCTAAGAATTCTGGTATCTGGCTTTGAAGAGGCTCCTGGAAAGCAGAGCCACAGGATACTTCACTGTCCTCTCCTTAGATATAAAAGAATAATTATCCTTGGGCAGTGGTGGCGCACTCCTTTAATCCCAGCACTTGGGAGGCAGAGGCAGGCGGATTTCTGAGTTCGAGGCCAGCCTGGTCTACAGAGTGAGTTCCAGGACAGCCAGGGCTACACAGAGAAATCCTGTCTCAAAAAATCAAAAAACAAAACAAAAAGAATAATTCTCAAGTTCTCTCCATCTACAGAAAGCTAGTGGAGCACCAGGCTTCATCTCTCCCCCAGTTCTCATTAGAGAACACAAAGGACTCACCACCTCCTTCCTTGACCCACAGTCATTCTTTCCTCTTCGTATTTTAAATGGAGATTTAAAACAATATCTATTTATGTGCAGCCAGCATTTTGAACCCTTCCTTTTAGAGTAAAATCAAACTATGGAAAAAAATCTATCTTCTGTGACTTGGAGTTGATAAGACCCCGTGAGACTGGTACACTTATATTTTAGAAGGAAAACAAGTCACAGAAGTCAGATAAAATCTCTTACACGCCGAGCAAAAACCAAATCCCAGACTGTTATTTGTCACTGGGAAGCAGCTTTCTGATACCAAATAAAATGACACCAAAGGACAGAGAACTGAGATGACCAGAGTTTTGTTCTTGTTTTTGTTTTGTATAAACTCATATTTACAGAGAGGGCACAGAATTTCAATTATGTCTTTTGTAAGAACACTTGTACACCCTAGGAAGCCAACTCATTCTTACATTGTTCAGTTTAACTCAGCACAATACCAGCTTGAACAAAAGTAAGCTATCCTGTGACACCAATGATGCTTAAGGTGTCCATGTGAAATGGACTGAATCTGGGGCTCATTGTTTCTCTCATGGACATTGGTTTTCAATGCTTCTCTTTAATGTGTTAGAATGAATCACACACATGATACTGACATTACAGAAATTGTTACATGAAGCTTACAATGCTTCGTGGATTGAAAGAAATAGCTTGAATGTGTTAGGAAATATCTTTGAATCTCCTTGATTCAGCTGAATGCAACAAATGTGTAATGAGGCTAGGCACCTCACTCAATAGAGCAGGATGCAATCATGCAGAAAATCACATGACCAAGTGATCTTTTATAATGGTGGTATCATTGAGATCTGATGTTCAGAGGATCACCTATTGTTATAACACATAGACCCATAATGCAGGCAGCAGTGGATCCAACAAGCCCCTACTGGCCTTAGTGGTTTGTTTTGTTTTACTGTTTTGTTTTGTTTTGTTTTGTTTTGTTTTTTTAATAAAAAGAGCTATTTAGACCTATCTGTGGTAACCAGGAAGCTAGAAAATCTTAACTTCCATTTTGCTGGCCCAGTCTTTCTCTGTTACCCAGTTTCCTTATTCACGTCTTAGGTTCTCAGGTGTAAAATGGGGTAAACTCTCCCTTTTGTGAGTTGCGGGAATCAGGCAAAGTCACATGGACTTTCTGGGGGTGGGGATTCTACTAATGCGTTGTCTACAAACGTCACTCAGTATTTTATCCCTTCATATCTCACTACCTCCCCCGTGCTCAGTAATTTTAGTTTGTGCTTTTTTTTTTTTCTCTTTTTGTTTATTTGGTTTGCTGGCTTTGTGTTCTTTTCTCCTTTTTTCCTTTTCTTTTCCTTTTTTTAATGCAGGAATCGGTCAAGGGGTTCCAGTGGTGGCTCTCATCGTGGAAGGAGGACCCAATGTGATCTCAATTGTTCTGGAATACCTTCGAGACACCCCTCCTGTACCAGTCGTGGTCTGTGATGGGAGTGGACGGGCATCTGACATCCTGGCATTTGGACATAAATATTCAGAAGAAGGAGGGTAAGTAAATTGCCAGGTCGCATGGGAGGCACCTGGGTACAAAGCTGTGTTTAAAGCTTGGAAAAGAGGACATCAGATCATGTTCTCTACAATTAGCCAAGACAGTGTGGGATGGTGGAAAGGTAGAACACAGAGCAACATCGAAATACCCGACGCAGTAACTACACTTTGGGCTATTTTATTGGGTTCTTATATCTATCACCCTTCTCCACTCATGCCTTCCAACCCCCCAAAAAGAGAAAGAAGGCTAAAAGAGAAAGGGGACAATGGTCCCTTTAGACTACTTTCTGCTGATTACGGTCAAGTTCTTAGAAGCAAGTCCAATCTTCATACCCAGGATATCTCCAACAATGCAGCAAACAGCAAAAGAAGCAGCAGCTGCTGCCACAGTCACGCAGATCTCTGCCGTTTTTATAGCCTCTGAAGAGTCCCCAGAATCCCAAACATAAATTAGCTTCAGCTGACAGAATCATGCCCCTGCCAGAGCATGAGATAAATTGTAGTTAGCTGCTGTGGACAATCTGAAGCAGCCCCCTATATCACACTTGGAATTAAAACAAAAACATATTCACATAACATAGCTGGGATTTTTAAGAAACCCAAATTCTCACTCCACTAGAGCAGAGGAAATCCAGGAGTGCTACGTCGAGACCGTGCTGATAATGAAGATGAGGGAAATAACGGAAATCAAGGGATGTATTCTTTTATCTTCATCGCTCCTTCCCACTTCCTCTCTCAAGGAAGGAGAGGCAGGAATTGGCTTATGATAAATGTAGCAAACAGCATCTGAATCACAGTGCAGAGCAGCCTGTGAGATAAGCTGGGTACCTCTTAGGCATGAGTGTAAGCACCATCATGGCCAAGCTGCTGTAAACACATTGGCAGGCTATGTTATCAAGTACTGCTATTTATGTACCTGCCTAGAAGGTAAAACCTCTATAATTAGTAACAGCTCTGGTCCTTTGTAAATGTCCCCCTGACCACTCAACCCCTATGTATTTTCCTTGGACCACCAGCTCTTAAATGCTACTCTCTAATATCCAAAGCCCTGACATCCCTAGGAGGATGTCTGTCCACCAGTAGAATAGTGAGGTCACTATGTCAGATTACGCAGGTAATTTAAAACAGGGTGAGAATGAGTTGAAGGAGTACAACCAGGGGAAGTCATCTAGCTTTCGCCTTCAGTTGATGTTGCCTTGGGTGTTGTTGTTGTCATTGTTGTTGTTTATTTTTGAGCATTTCATATGAAGAACTACAGACAATCAATCAATGACTGCTGAGAGAGGCAGAATCATTCTTCTCCAGGGACATGCCCTCTCATTAGTTAACAAATCCCTAGTGGTCATGCTTTAGTGCATTCGCACACGTGCATGCACACACACACACACTCACATACATACACACACACACACACAATGTCATTTAAGTTCTAAACAACAACAACAAAAACTTTCTCACCCAGTTTTCCTAGCATGTGGCTAGGATGACGAAGAAGTTCCCCGGGAGATAGGGCCTTTTATAAATACAGAGTAGCCCAAAGTATGATGAACTGTGCAGAACATTGAGATAGAGGAGGAAAGAACAACCTGGAGCTGCTATAGCAAATCTAATGAGCAAGACAAGCACACAACAATAGTAGTGCAATTATGGAAGAGCTAACTTGGTGGAGGACACGCCCTCCTCCACATCTCTCCTCCCCAGACTACAAAAGAGACTCAACATGTTAGCAACTACCACCTTGTTTTCCCCATCTTAATCCTTGGCCCTCCATTTTGCCACTAAAACAGTATGTTTACCAAATTTATACTAGAACCAACGTGTGTAAGGTGGAAAGTAATGGAAGGCGGGGAGCTCCTACCCCAGCACTGGATGCCACAACAGTGATTTCATGCCTAGAAATCTGATAGTTCTAAAAAAATCCTATTTGAAGTTAGAGCTTTCTCATTGACAAATTTAATTAAACTGCCATCATTGTCTTCTTCGAGAGTAAGTACTGATCTATTTTATCGCTGAGGCTGTAAGCAGAGGACATTTGCCCAGTGATCCTTATGTTGACTAATAAAGTGTTCGATAACCTTAACTGTTTGCCTTATTAAAAATTTGCCATAGTCCTCATTTCTTTAAATGCAGCACCATACTCCTCTTGTCTAGAAAAAAAAACAGAATTAGATAGTTTGTAGCTTTTGATTATTTGTTTCTCCGTGGTGTTTACAGATTGTTTTTTTGTCAGATACCCTCAAAACACATACAGGTTTTGCATTTGGAATGCAGTTTTCCCTTTCCTTCCTTCAAGACCAAAGAAAAAGGAAGACTTTCTCCAGTGTTTCTAGCCATCTGGGAATATGCCCCGTGATAGCTAAAATCTCGGGCCTTTTATGTATCTTTATTTTAGGCTATGTGCTTTGAACATATTAAAACCTCTCATAAGGATGTCTCTGGTTGTTTCTGTTTGAATATGTGAGAAGGGTTATGCATTTTAGAGTTGAGAGGGGCACTGTATGATTTAATCTAATAGAGTAGAAGTTAAACACTTTGCTTCAGTCCACACTGGTCATGAGCTCAGACTAGAATTCCATCTGGGTTACTAGCAAAATTCATTGAGAAAAGTTTTGTGATAGGTGCTTCTGTCCCGATGAAGAGCCTCAAGGACTCCTTTAAATGTTTACATGCATGGAAGTGCCTCTGCTTTTTTCAATAATTACATTTAGTTTTAAATTATCATGCATATTGCTAACATACAAAAACCAAGTCATTATATATAATCTTATGTCCAAGTTATAATTCCTTTCTCATGTGGATTCTTTCCCATCACCACCTAGACTGTTCTACACCCATTCCTAAATTAAGAATCAAAATGGTCACCTACTTCCAACTTCATTTGAAATTCTTACTTCTATTTTATAGTCTAAGCATGTGAAATCACAGTCTATTCAGGATTTACATAAATGTGAACCATGGCCAGTTATGGACGAATAAGAAATCACTCACATAATTAGTACAGAGGCAAAGAATTAAACACTATCTATTTCAGGGAGAAGTTGAAACTTGAAAAATATTCTGTGATACTTACAATGCTTATAATAAATAGAAACGTACAGGGAAGTCTTGTGTGTATGTGTGTCAGTACATGTAGTCAAACACAAACACACACAAATGGAGGGGGGAGAGAGAAAGAGAGGGAGAGAGGGAGGGGTGCTGTGCACAATGTTATGATGAAAATTTACTCTCTTAGGAGGGCACTGATAAATTTAATGTGATAAAATGGTCAGAATGTTTTTGTGTGCCATCGGAAAAGCTTCCAGGATTAGTCGTGCTTATTAAACTCGATAAGGAATTGTCTAATGACATTTGCACATAGAATTTAAAGTCACTTCGAAAGAACATTATTTTGTAGCAATGTACTTTCTTTACATGCAATGAATAAAAATAAAAAGCATTGATCTTCATTCACCAGGAAGGATTGCTTCTTTGGTTTTCAGAATCCAACAGAGTTAACCATTCTACTACACGCATGTGTATATACATACATATTTATATAAACAAGCCTGTATAAGTAAGTGGGTCCAAATAAAATTAGATATAGGAAGTATACTCATCCTAATTACAAAGTTTAGTTTCTGACTAAATTAATATTGTTACTCCTCTGTTTCACACTGGAGCTTTATATCAATGTGTAAAGTTAATTTCATTTGTGGGTTGCTAAATAAAATAGCCCAGAGGACTGTGAGAGCATCCATGCAACTACATAGCTCTTCAGTTAATAATCTTTGAGAAATGACCTTTCTTGCCTTACTTTGTCATCTTTGTGACCTTTCTAGTTTGTCATTGAGCTCCATTCCAAGAATATGAATTGGAAGGAGAATATGAATTGGAAAAGAGAATCGCTTTGGAAGTGAATTATAATTGGCAAAACTGATTATCTTCCATGAATGAGATTGCTGGGGATAGAAACAGACTGTGTCTATCACAGTGCAAATGGATTTGAATAAACTAGGAGACAATTGCAATTAAATGCTTTTTCTGTATGTAGGGCTGAGAATCAAATTAAGTTCTATATTTTGTCTTTTTCCTCCCTATCTGTTCTGTGGCATGTGGTACCTGAAAGAAATGGCCCAAGTGAATATTCCCACTTATCATCATAATGTATGTTCTGTTTACCTATTTATCATTCTGACTCAGAACAAATCATTAAATCCCTTCCGTAACTAGTTCTATTACTCTAGAAATGTTGTCAAAGTCTGCTTCTTAACCACAAATGACTAAGCCCCATAAATACAAATATTAAGAGCAACAAAAACTGTTAGACTTAATTACCTAGGATTTTATTTATGAGGATCTTGCCTTCTTGTGTTTGATTAAGTGGATGAATTATATCGCCTGGTGTCTGGAACACCTTTCAGGGTGCAGAATCCTGATGTAGAAATCAGATACGCCTTTATCTGATAACTGTCAACCTTAAGTCTAAGACTACAGAGAAATAGGACCTCATCCCTTCATCTGTCATGTCATGAACAAGTACCTGCCAATGATCAATGTAAGCATAGAACGTCATCTAAGTACATATGTGCTCTGAGTCAGTGTCCCTCATCCATCACAATTTTATTACTAATGTTTATATATATGTTAGTGGTTTTGTCCAAAGACTATCACCTGGATTTACCCCATTTTAGATACTCTGGAAAAGAAGCAGAACCATATAATAGCCAAAAAGAAAAACATACCTTAAAAGATTTTTGAATAATGAGGATGCATATGAGGATTCATGACAGTTGGGAAATTGTCAGTGAGGCATATATCATTCATATTATAATGTTCTAGTGGCATTTTAATTAGGGACAGACTATGGAAAACATGTGAGCACTATCTTACTCTTGGGAGTAGAAGAAAAATTGTGGTGTGTGCTATGTGGTCATGGAGTGTGCGTATGTGTGTGCGCACGCATGCGCATGTGTAAGCTCACGTGGTGAGAAAGGTGGTCATGGTGGTTGGGGTATGATGGA